ATTTATTACATACTCCACCAATAAAAGTCATCCTGCAAAACAGTGAGGGCCTTTATATCAGGTTTACATCAAAACATAAACCTGTATTGAAAATTGTCTGTGGGTATTTTACGCTTGGAAAATTTAAAATGGATCCCGTTAAAGTTGCGGTAACACAGTGGCTACATCTCAAACAGCACGTTTCATAAATGAAGAAAATTAATGAAAAATTCTATCAATTGCCCCGTAAAAGTTATAAACTTGCAATATTTTTAAACTACCTATATTTTTATTACCTAATTAAAAGATTCTTCTGATTAGTTTTTATTTACTTTTTGTTTATATAACAGTTGATTATTCCAGTAAAAAGTGGTTTCTTATAAATATGTCTTGGCAAAAATTAGCTCGGATTATTTCGGACAAATGTGGTTTACGCCTTGCATTGTGCCCAAACAAGTTATTTTCTCGTAATCAGTTTTTATTATGCCTGCGGATATGTTGTCGTAAAATATTTGCCATATCCTTGGTGCTGTTGAAAAAGGGCCACATTTGCTCATATTAACTATTAATAGATGTGTCCTTTGGGACATTATTCTGAATCTGTTTCGTTTGATGTTTAAGTTGTTCAGTATGTGTGATTGCATTATAAACATTTCTCAAACTATCCAATTCCTTAATATTTCGAAAAAAGTCAGGTCGTCCTGACAATTTTGAAGGACAAATCTTGGAAAAAAAATTGGATTAGCGTGTCCCGTAATTTGTGGAAATAGTATATATTATGATCAGAAAATTTTCTATGTCAACTGCTCCCTGTCTGTACGTCCGTTGAAATCACGATAGAGCTCGAAATATTTAAGACAGAGAATTGACATTTTGCACATACATACATTGTTACCATTAGATATTGAACAAGTGAAAAAGCGTTAAGTTCGTCCGGGCCGAACTTTGGATACCCTCCACCACAGATATACTGACAGGTACTTGAAATGAAAATGTAGGAACATACAAAAAAGTGGCCTTTCTACAGAGTGATTATGTAAACCATAATGTACACCAAATACAATTTCAGTAATTTTTAATGTATATTTATACCCTTATGGCTAACGAGGGTGTATACACTTTGATACAGTGAAAACGCGCCTCATCGAAATATTGGTTCAAGAGCCCATGTTTCTTTGGATCAAATCCGTTTCAGAAAAATTTGGATTTAATCCAAACTTTGCCTATCTTATTATTTCTTCCAAACTTAGGTCAAGTTCGAAGATGGGGAATATCGGTCCACTCCTTCTGGCACGTCCAATACAGGGGCCTAGGCCTAGGTCTAAATCCGGGCTATAGTTCATATGTAGTTCATTATCGAACCTAACGTTTTAGTTTTTTTATCTCGATGTCCTCCTCAGGTGAAATGATTACAAAAGAGTCTTAGAACCAAACCAAAAACGCGAAACTAATCAGATAACTATTTTATTATAAAAAGGGGGTAATATGGGGACTACGCCAAAAAGAGGGCGAATATTATTAATAGTGAGATTTGTTACCATATACGACGGTTGAAAAACGCGCTCAAGAACCCCAAAATACCGAAAATTGGGGGTACCCCTATACGGGGGGTTACACGAAAAAATGGAACTATATTCATAATTTTTTGTGTAGTGATTAGTGATAAGAACTCAAAGTACTTAATTACAGCCAATTCGGTGGAAAAATACGATCAAAACCCCCAAAATACTGAAAATTAGGAGGTACTGTTATATGGGGGCTACCAGAAAAAGTGGACCTATATTTATAATTTTTTGTGGAGATATTTAGTACCCAATAAGAACCCATTGCACCAAATTTCAGCGATTTCGGTTGAAAAACGTGCCTAAGAACCCCAAAATACCGAAAATTGGGGGGTACCCTTATATGGGAGCTATGCCTAAACGTGGACCGATATATCCCAACTTGACCTGCCCGCAGACAAAAGACAACCCTATGCAAAATTTCAGCACCCTATCTCAATTCCTTCGGAAGATAGCGTGATTACAACAAACGGACGGACATGGCTAGATCGTCTTAGAATTTTACCCTGATCAAGAATATATATACTTTATAGGGTCGGAAATGAATATTTCGGTGAGTTACAAACGGAATGACAAAATTAATATACCCTCCATACTAAGGTGGATGGTATAAAAATGGAATATTTCAAGAGACATTTCCGTGCCGCGTAATTTCTCGCCATGGCGATTTCAACTGGCCACCAAGATCATGCTATTTGACACACATTTTCAACTCAGTACAGTAGATATGGAATATAAGCACATGTCATATAAGAAAAAATCGCATATAAGAATGATTATCAAAAACACCAAGCCTTTTTACTTACATCTTTTTAGTGTAAAAATTGCTTCATATAAGAAAAAGGCGAATAAGAAAATAACTTATATAAGAAATGTTTGTCAAACACCAAAGTTGACAAAGGTATTTGAAAACGTTTCATATAAGAAAATATTTAAGATTGTTGGCCAAACTGAATATATTTAAATATTGTTAGTCAAACTTTGGTTAACGAATATACACCCAAAAAATTGTAGTCCAGTGTAATTATTAAATTGCTGCAAAATATTCTGGGATCTGGGAAAACTGAAACGGATTGTATACGTTTTTATAATAGGCAATTTAGTTCTGTTCAACAGGTACAGATTTTATTATTACGTTGGGATAACATTTACTTAATTTAACGGTGATAACGCTCTTTAACATCGTGATGTTATTAACATTGACCGGATTAGAATATGTATAAGAACATGTCTTTGAATATTCTGGAAACAAATTTTACATTTTGTAGTGCGCCATCTAGTAGAACATAGTTGAACAAAAACAGATGCTACTATTACAATCCAACCTTGCGATGAAGTAAACATAAATAGAATGTTACCAATTTGGCGGTTTTTGAAATCATATTATTTTAAGTAATGCCAAATTAATTGCGTCAGATTTATCGAATGTATTTGAAAGTTAATCTGTAAACATGGCCATTATATTTTCTTTTTATAATTTAAATTTTTGTTTAATTATTTGAATTTATGGGAATGTATGATTGAGGAAGTTTAGAAAATGCACTGGACCATGTGTTCCATTCCATTTAAAACACCTAAAAATATTCTACACAGACGCCATAATTTATACATATTAGTTCCGTTCCAGAACCTAAAAGAATCTACTAATTTTACATGTTTTGCAACTTTTTCCTCGAAACCCGTTCCTGAACCCACTAATCTGGTAAAACATTGAACCAAATTTAATAGGACGCAAAACAAAATGGCGTTCTTTTTGTAAACTTTTTACTCGACAAATTTGTCCGAGTAAAAATGGTAAACTGGACTGCCAACTTCTGATTGCCTGTTATGTTAATTTTGAAGTATTGCAATCTAATTTTGACATATTTACTAGATTTGCGTTCCCGAACTTTTAAAATTTGTTTGTACTCTGAGAGCGAGTTTGAAATGATTTCCATTTACTAGCTTTACTATTAATAAAGTGCTACATATCTACATCATAGCATAATTATACAAGGTAGTCTCATGCAGTCATATGTTTCCAATTTTTACATAAATTTGCCTTTGACAATATTCAGTTTTTAAAATTTAAATGAAAATATCTTCCTTCGAAATGAACGCATATCATGTGTTCAGTGGCAAAAAATTGCTATATGATTAATATTTATAAATAGTTGTAGCAACCATGAGATCAATTTCAGCTTTAGAAAATATATTTTCTTTAGTTTGTTTAAAATTTTCGAATCGAGATACATAAAATTTTATGGAATTTATTTTTCATTTTATTTAAAATTATTATTATCATGAAATTCTCAAATGAGACTACCTTCTGTAATTATGCCATGGCTCTGCCTAAAATATTGCGATCTCTATCGTGAAGGACATACGTGCGGACATGCGTAAATCGACAGTTTTATTCTGACATATACTTTATGGGATCTCCCGTGTTGCAAACATCTCACCATATGGTGGATGGTATACAAAATATAGGAAAAAACATTGATTTACAAAAAAATGTTTTTTTTTTATTAAATCGACTTAAACTTATTAGAATCCAATTCTGTTCAAAGGAAAACAATGCACACATTCTCTTACTTAGTTGTCGAATAAATCTTTCGCCTTTTAATGACTATTACTACAATAGAAAATGTATTTGTACTTAAATTAATACATAATTTCACTTCACACAAACTAAATTAAAAAAATCGTACGATTTATCGTTCGCAATTTGTAGGTTGATTACATTTCAGACGATTTTGCATTTTGGCGTTTCTTTTACACACAACAGTTGACAACACTGTTATAAAGTAAAAAATGGCGTAATATTTGTGTTGCTTTCCATATCAGTGCTAAGAATTTGTTAAAAAATTTGCGTGGAATTTAACAGAAAATATAAATAAATAATAACAAAAATATAAACAAATTGCTTGCCAATAAAATTACAACAACAAGAAAATGAAATAGTTTCTCAAAACAGATTAAAACAATAAAAGAAACATACGTGATTCCCAATTACCCAAAAAAAAAAGAGTATCGAAGAAAAAAAGAGAAAAATCGGCACACACATAGAAAAGCGCACAAACGGTGTAAATGTATGCGTGTGTATGTATGACGGACGGACAGCGTTGAAAACGCACCACAACAAAACATAACGCGTAAACCCCGTAAAAAACGAAAAACACAAATATCAAACTAATTTACATTTTAATAAAAAAATATAAGCGACAATTGAAGTTGGAGGGATGCGGCATTAAAAGAGTTGAGAAAAAATAGAACACGAAAAAAATACAAAAGGCAGGCGAGAATATCTTGAAAACTCAAAAGGAAAGTCTTCGTAAGGCGAAGACATTCCAACAACAGAGTTTTGTTGGCAACAGCCAGCCGAAGGAAGGAGAAGAAGAAAAAAGGCTGTAAATACGAGAAAAACGCCAACAACACCACCACCAACAACATTATCATCATCATAGAGAAGCAAAGAAGAATTTTCACAGCAACAACAATTGGCCCATTAAAAGCCCCAGCCCCAAAAAATCTTTGCCAACTTTTTTGTTCGTTCATTAAAAACTTCAATATAAAATCGCTCAGAGATTACAATTATGTCCGGTGGTGGACAAGACTCCACTAGCAGTAGTAGCACTAATGGCAGTGCAACTAATGGGGTATCATCATCAGCGGTAGCCACAACTCCCACATCAACGGGACAATCCAGTCTTAATCAAAGATCTCGTGGTCGACCGGCGAAACGGGCTACATGTACATGGTGTGGCGAAAGTAAACAACCATTGCAATATGTTCTACCAACCCAAAATGGTAAAAAGGAATTCTGTTCGGAAACATGTATAGCGGAATTTCGAAAGGCCTATAGTAAGGGTGCCTGTTCGCAGTGTGACAACGTAATACGCGAGGGAGCACCCAATAAGGAATTTTGTTCGCTGATGTGCATGAATAAACACCAGAAGAAAAACGGTCCAACAAGATCATTGAGTAACGGTTCGCGCGGTGATACACCGGGAGGCAAATCGATGGGTGGCGGTGGTTCTTGTACACCCACAGGACCCTTTCAGTACGAAAGTTTTCACGTATTCGATTGGGATGCATATTTGAAGGTGAGTTATTTGAATGCGTTTACAAATGTACATATTTACTGTTTTCTTTCTTACCGGTTAAGTGGGAATGTGAGGTTCTAGAAGACATTTTGCTGAAATGTTCGAAGCTCCCTTTTTATGTTTAAGTATATTAAGCATGACAGTTTCATGCTTCCCAATACATTTCCATGTTCGATATATAAATATTAGATGGACTGGATGAAATGTATTTCTTCATTGGATTGATATAATCAAGTTGGAATTTCTTGAAATTATTATCACAGTTTGGTTTTGCCCCTACTGATCACAACTACCTCTGGCAAAAATTTCAGAAAAAACCGAGGGAACCCCTAAACTGAACTTAAGCCAAATTCTTAGCATCAATCCACAGGCGTTATCCTAAATAGCTAACCATTGTAGCAATTAGTTCGCTTAACCTGTAATATACCAGTGATTTTGAGTCAAATGGCTACAGAGGTCAAAGGAGTCAAGAGTGGATAATCTTAAGAGACTTTGGAAAAAAGGCTTTGGAAACAAATCCGCAAGGACTTTAAGTCGGAAAAATCGCAACATTGCGTATGATGGTTAACCTTCCAGGACCTCGACCAAGGTAGTGACTAAGGAAAAGCACTGTAAAGAACCAAAAGAAGCCATCGATGCTGCAGACATTTCAACCCTAAGTCTCTTAGGAGATTACCACTGGAACGTCGCACCAAGTGTCAGAAAGCATCGAAGTCAACACCACAATGGTTGATTCTCAACCTGCATATGTAAATCATGTTCATAGCGGACAAGGTTAATAAGGTTATGTTTGTGGCACTGTTCGGGCTATGGTCCCCAGACTTGCAGCTGTCGCGAGTACTTCTCGCCCTCGATATGGGATTTGACAATTCATCAGCAGGCTTGTTTATAGGTCTTTCTATGGGCTCACCTTGGGACCGACTTCGACTCTACCTTACTTATCAACACTCAGAGATCCCTTAAAGGGTGTTGATTATAATAAGTGACCGCCATCATCATCCCGGTTGTGTTCAGACTACTTGCAGTCTTCTCCTCCTTTGGAGAGGCGATTGTGTTCGACTTCACACACGACTTAGGAATACTTCCGATTATGAAGTCCCTCGCAATGTGATTTGGATTGTTCCGACAGATTTTAACCGCTCTTGGGACCTGATTGCAAACCGTAAACACTGATTATTATATATTATTACTTCAGAAGTAGTTTTCCAATGAATTTCCCTTGACACGAGCCAGATGAAAAAACTTCTAGCGACAACAACACATTCGCAGACTGTTGTCGTTCCTCCGAGGATTTTCACTATTATAGTCTGGATAGAGAATTGTATCGAGGCTTACCTTTTTGAATAGTTCGATAGGAGTCTCAATTTTACAAGTTATAAGGGTCTATGACAGATTACCATAGTTCATACATCTCCCTTACACTGTTTTCTCCATTATTTTTTTTTTTTTTTTGCCTTGTCACGTAGTTATCCAGTAATCCTGTAGGTATTCAATAAACTTGTCCACACTCTTATCACCTCTATAAATTGTTAATTGTTAAACATTTATTTCTCAAAGTACCACCCAAGCTTACCGCCCTTGAGAAGCTTAATTTTATCTTCACTAATATTTTATGGTTTTACAATTTTCCCTTTATTAATCTATTTTCCACCTCTAATTTTGTCATTTCAGGAAACTGGCTCTGAGGCAGCACCTCCCGAATGTTTTAAACAAGCGCTAAATCCACCAGTTAATGACTTTAAAATTGGCATGAAATTAGAAGCTTTAGATCCACGTAATGTTACCTCAACCTGTATAGCAACTGTTGTTGGTGTTCTCGGATCACGTTTACGTTTACGCCTTGATGGCAGCGACAGTCAAAATGATTTTTGGCGTTTGGTCGACTCGAACGAGATTCATGCCATTGGCCATTGTGAAAAGAACTTCGGCATGTTGCAACCACCACTTGGGTTTCGCATGAATGCCTCCAGCTGGCCCGGCTATCTATGTAAAATATTGAATAATGCCATGGTAGCACCGGAAGAGATTTTCCAGCCAGAGCCAGCTGATCCACCAGAAAATCTCTTCCGTGTGGGCCAAAAGCTCGAGGCGGTCGACAAAAAGAATCCACAATTGATTTGCTGTGCAACAGTTGATGCGATTAAAGACGACCAGATCCATGTGACATTCGATGGGTGGCGTGGAGCATTCGACTATTGGTGCAGCTACAAATCTCGTGATATATTTCCAGTTGGTTGGTGCGCCCGTAGTTGTCATCCAATGCAACCGCCGGGTCATAAATCACGCATGGATTCTAGTTCGAGTAAACATCGCAGTCCACGCCAACGTTACACAGTTATACAGGAAACGGATTCAATGGCTCCGGCCACACCGGTTACAGCACATTTCCATACCAATTGTAAGGGTGGACCGTTTATTAATAGTGCAAAGCTACCGTCGATGGTAACGGGGCCAACACATCAAACTCTGGCAAAGTTATGTCTTCAGGAGGTATTGGCAGCCAGTACCGATACACAACAATTATCCAAGCTATTGTTTGCCTTGGAAGGTGATGTTCATATTGTTACGGCCGCTGGAAAGAATTTTACGGTATGTGAAAATACCCATTTGATTGAATGTTCTATTTTCGAATATATTTTATTTTTCTTATAGGTAAAAATTCCATCACCTCTACGTATGAGAGATGACGATAGTTTGGCACAATTCATTGAAACTCTATGTACAACATGCAGGGCATGTCCAAATCTAATATCACTATCGCCAGATACTGAGGATTGTGAGAAATGTTCGAATTCCAAGAAACGTCCCTTGTCACAAACATCGAATGCCACAGGAACAGGATCAGATAGTTCGACACCAGTAATTCCAGAGAAACGTAGTAAAACTCCCAGTAGCAGCGACAAGATTACCATTAAACAAGAAGTAGCCACGTCCACAACAACAGCTGCAAATTCATCGGTGGACAGTAGTGGCAATCATAATAATACAGGAAACAGCGGCAGCAGCAGCAACAATACAACAAATGCTACATCAACAACAACAAATACAAAAAATCATTACAACAATCAGAGCAACGCAAAGGAGCCATCCAATAGTACTCCATCAACGCCCACATCATCGACAAATAAAAATCAATCACCACACAGTAGTAGTGGCAAAAATAGCGCTAGTAGTGGCAATCGTAACTCCCTCGGCGGCAATAGTGGCAATATCAGCAATCATAATGAGACGACAACTACAAATAGCAGTGTTGGTGTCCTACCAAATAATGCCCATATTAAGATAGAACCGACAGTACCAGTGGCTGCAACGGCAGCAAGCACAAATGGGGTTCAGGTTAGTATCGCACTTCTAGGCTTAAACATTCCTCTTAAAGAATACTGTTTTCCTTGTTTTCAATTTAATAATTTTCCGTATTTTTTCTTTTTAGCAAAATGCAACACAAGCCCAAGCTTTGAGGCAAATACGAATACATCATCATTCAAATAGCACTAGCGCGACAGCAGCATCATCTTCCTCCACATCATCGCCATCGTTGTCGTCAACAACATCATCCAGTGTAACACATCGGGAGGAACATAAAACACAACAGCAAACAACACATCAACATTCCCTAAACAATTCGAATTTCAAGTATTTAGCACCGATGGTAGCTGAAGTACATCCCGAACAATCAAATTTAATTGCTGCTGCCACGGCCACAGCTTCAACAACCTATAAATCTCCTTCCACACTATCATCTAGTGCTTCGTTACCTACATCCGTATCTACACCATTCTGCGCCTCACAATCCACATCATCAACGGTTGCATCGGCGACCGCTGTCATACCCTCAACATGTGCATATGGTGGTACTGTCACTGTTCCAGTACACCATAATCCACACAATACAAATGGTACAATGGGTGCTGCATTACCTCCGTTACGTGCCCAACCGGGTGATTGGTCAATTGAAGAAGTTATACAGTTTATCGAGAGCAATGATAGTTCATTGGCTGTTCACGGTGATCTCTTCAGGAAACATGTAAGTAGAAATGCATGCAACTATAATGTTTTTTTTCCGATATTATCGACAATTTGTGATAGTATTTTGAGTTGAGTACATTTTTGCCTTAGTTTGAAATTCCTTAAAAGAAAATAATAGATCCTTCAAATAACTTCTAGAACAAATATATACTTAAACTGATTGTATACACGTTTATTCTATTGCGATCCCCCATCATTATTTGCTAGGAATATTTTTATATTTTCAAAACTGAGCTGGGAGGGTATATAATCCCCTCGACAGTTACCTTAGAACGATGTTGGTCAAAATTCACCATCCTGCGGTGTATTTCTGTTGAAAAATTTAGAAGAGACCAGAACAAGGCATGCATAGGACAGTGTAGGTATCACTTGACCTTTTAAAAGTCTTTATTAATGTCCATCCTGCCATACTGTATGAGGACGTTGAGAACACTTCCTTCCGGCCAAGTTTGAAATGCTGAATAAGCAATTATATGTGTGTACGCCAATCCCTATAGAATTAACATGACTGTACAAACGTATATCTCATCGATTTGGTAGCTTTTTTCACCCGAGGAAAATAAAAAAATCCTTACTTACTTATCTAGCTTGTGACAGAACTTTCGTTCCATAAGCCGAGCTTAAAAAAGATTTCCAGGCGTGTCGGTATTTTGCACAGTTTTTCCCAGTTTGAAAGATCATATTCGGCAATGTTGTCTTCCACTTGATCTTTCCATCTTATTTGTGGCCTTCCACTTCTGCCTGAACCATCAGCTGATTCGCTTTTATATGCCTTTTGAGCTCACAACATCGCCTAGCCAACGTAGTCGCTGCAGCTCGATACGTTTGACAATGCCGATGTCAGAGAATAACTGGTACAGCTCATGGTTCATTCGACGGCGATATTCACCGTCAACGCAGATCGCCCCATAGATCTATCGGAGAATTTTTCTTTCAAACACTCCAAGAGCTGCCTCATCTGCTTGCGTAAGTACCCGTGCTTCTGATTCATTTAATAGCACGGGTAGTATCATCGTCTTGTAGAGTATGAGTTTGGTTTGGCGGGAGGTGGCCTTGCCTTTTACTCAGACCATAGTAGCATCTGTTGGCCAACACTATCCTTCTCCGAATTTCAAAACTGATGTCTTTATTTTTCTTTATGGCGGTACCAAGGTATATAAAATGTTTTACTACCTCGAAGCTGTAGTTCTCAAGTTCCGCAGTTGGTCCGAGTCTACTGGACGTATTGCGCGTTGATACCATCAGCTTGGTCTTCTCGCCGTTTACTGTCAGACCCACTTTGGAAGACTCCTTCTCAATTTGTTCAAAGGTGGATGTTACCGCTCTCAATGTTCGACGCATTATATCGATGTCACAGGCGTAGGCGAGTAACGTGTGTTGTTTGGTGTACAGAGTGCCATTTCTGTTAACCTTTGTCTCTCATATGACCTTTTCCAGCAGAATGTTAAAAAGGACACACGACAAACTGTCACCTTGTCGGAATCCTCGTTCGGTATTAAAGGTCTCCTCCTTAAGGCGAAGCCCAGGCTTATCTTGGTCCCTCTTTCATCTCATTTGTGGACACTGACCTCCCCGCAGTGTCACCTGGGGTAACTAATTATTAACTGGGGTAACTGATTATGTAAACAATAATGAACACCAAATACAAATTTCAGCAATCAGCCTTATGGCAACTGAGGTTGTATACACGTTGATACAGTGAAAATGTGCCTCATCGAAATATTGGTTCTAGACCCATGTTTCTTTGGACCAAATCAGTTTCAGAAAATGTTGATTTCATGCAAACTTTACCTATCTTATTATATCATCCAAGACAAAAGACAACCCTATGCAAAATTTCAGCATCCTATCTCAATTCCTTCAGAACATGGCTAGATCGTCTTATCATTTTACCCTGATCAAGAATATATATACTTTATAGGGTCGGAAATGAATATTTCGATGAGTTACAAACGGAATGACAAACTTAATATACCGTCCATACAATGGTGGAGGGTATAAAAATGGGTTGAGGCGTCGGATTAGTTGCCCACACTCGGAAAACCCCTCTTACTATGAAAAAGCAACGAAAAAAAAAACAAAATAAAAATATCCACACCAAAGAATTTTTGACTGCAGCCAACCTGTTAAATCAATTACGTCTCACTACATATAATAAAGTCAAATATTGCGGTATTTTCACGGACACCTTCGAAGAAGGTTCTAGGGTCTCCATTTCTTTATACCTTTACCACACTGGTACAGGGTATTATGTCTTTGTGCATATGTTTGTAAAAGGCAAAATGGCTCCTCTTGAGATTGTATTATATTTTATAAAAAGTGCAGGTTGCATTTGTTATTCCAATGAGATGAAATTTGGCACAGAGCATTTTTTGCTTCAAGGACGAACGCTATTAAAATTGGTGAAATCGGTTCAGATTTAGATATATATATATATATATATATATTCGTCCTATTTTTAGTAAATGTTGAACCAGAGAGTAAAATTTAGGCCGATTGGCACAAAGTTTTGCACAACGCACTGAAAGTAAGATATCTTAACGTGTGCTAAGTTTTCGTTGAAATTGGTTCAGACTTAGATATAGCTTCCATATATATTCGTCCGATTTTAGCAAATGGTACACCAGAGATTTTTAAAAGTTTTCATCGGTAACAATCACTCCTCAAACTTTTAGATCATGTTTTTGTTTAAGTTTTGTATGCCATATGTAACCGATATATTTAATGTGTTGTTATTTAAATTTCTTTTTATATACTTTGTTAATTTAACAATACCTATTTCTACTCTTTTTTTCAGGAAATTGATGGCAAAGCCTTGTTATTGTTAACCTCAGAAATGATGATGAAATATATGGGTCTCAAATTAGGACCAGCCTTAAAAATTTGCAATTTAGTTAATAAAGTGAATGGTCGTCGCAACATGTCCCTGTAAATAAAATGGCAGACAACAAACGGAAGACGCGGAAACAGATAGCTCATACAGCCTTTAGACCCTCATCTCCACCACCTGTTAACAATACATGATGTCCTCATAAAATACTTACTATATACAACCAATCAACCTACATACAAAGAACATATTTAGAGAAACTACCTTAACCGAATGAAAAAACTATAAACACCAAATATTCCATACAAATCCTCTCATAAACAAAAAAATATATATAAAGGGGAAAATATCTCAAGAAATATTTAAACAACAAAAAATGAAGTAGAAATATAACTACTTAAAGGAAAACCATTAACAAACAAACACACATACATACAAAATAAAATATATAATCCATAAATTATATAGACAGCGAAAAAAAAAAAACAAAATAACCACAAAAATCAATCAATCAACAAACACAACACATAATATCATTTATAAAAAAACTCTTTTTGCACAATATTACTGGGACAACAAATCAATACTACTAATACACATACATACAGCGCTACACAATTATTATTAACACAAAGCAAAAACACAATAGTTTTGCATATTGATTCAAGTGATAATTTAATTAATTTCCCCTTTTTTAACACAATAACTGTGTTAGACTATCTCAAAAACAAAATTTCTAAGGATTTGGTTTTAAATTAATATAACCAATTTTTTTTATTTTATTTTTATAAATATAATTTGTGTATTTTATAAAAACGCTATCGCCCCCTACATCAAAAACAATACTTATAGCAATAACATGGTAGTGAATATAGAAGGCGCCTAAGGCGGTGGTGTAATGTATACCATTTAAATATATATTTTTTATTTTAATTTCTTGTTATATTTTTGTAATACAACTGAATTTTACTTTAGTTATATACTTTCTCACCTACACACCTGCTATACGTATACAAAAATTTGTTTTCATCTGGAAACTATATATTTTTTTTATTAAATTTGATCTGTATTATTATTTTTTTAATTTAGCTATTCATAGATATTGTATTTCTTTTCTTTATATAATCAGCAGCAAATGTCAAACATATGCAATGAACAGATAATATTATATACATATAAACAAACAAAAATACCCCCAAACAAAAGAAACACACGAAAATTTTCTCTCTCATTACTATTAAATTGTGAATTTTATGTTTGAATTTTAAATTAAAAAAGAAACAAATTTAAACCTAGTAACAGCGTAGAAAAAGAAGATGCCTCAAATAGCAGCAATCTATCTATCTCATTTATGTGTACATTAAATTATTTGTATTTTATTTTTTTATAAATATTTTTAATCTTTGGCACAAAATTGCAAATATGTATTCTATAGAATAAAAAAAAGAAACGAAACAAAAACTATTTTACAAAATTGTATATTTCAATTTTAAATTCCTTTTGCGTTTACATTTATGGCATCAATATTTCTTTACGCATCTATATTGTACGTTTTTATCACTTATTAAGTACATATATAAAACAAATTGTAATTTAGTTTAGTTTTAATGTTAACAGAAAACAAACAAAAAATAAGTGAATGAATGAATATGAAATAAAAACAAAAAACACAAATAAATACATAATATTCCATAATAGAAACAACAAATGTATATATAAATAATATATAAAACTAGTATCTTTATCCTCGAAAAAACAAAACCTCCCATGTAAAAGATTTGAGTTATTAAATCGAAATTCATGTCCTAAAAGCTGTTGTTTATTTTTTCAACAAATTGATATTGGCATTTAGGGGTTTCTCAAATTAATAATTTGGGGCGAAGTACCTCCTACCTTAGTTGTTATTGTACCAGTTTATATGAATGTTGTTTTCCTATTTAAATTCAACCTGGTTCTGTCTCCAAGTTAAGAAATTCAGCTACTTCCACTGGCTGCAACCACAGATCTTCATGAGTAAAACGAGTAGATTTGGCTGGGCAATTGAATAAGTGCAGTGTGGCATGAGAGCCCGTACCACATGCTGGGCAAACATTCTGCGCCTGGTCACCAGTCCATGCCCAATACGAATTGAGACAACTGCACCATCCTGAACGTAATTGAGCCAAAACTACTCTGGTTTGTCTGGGCAGCTGACGTTCTTCAGCGGCTATGGACGGGGAGTGGTTTCCGAGGAAGGCATTCATTCGGTATTCCTTCAGCGCTGCGGCAACTGCATGAACGCTATTCAGACCTGCTCGGACCTTTTATAACGTTGGACCTCTCTAGATCATGCAGGTCCTTCCTGACAAGCCTGGATGGGGGTGTCTTATCCTTCTAGTATTCACAGGCCACATGGAACCGCACAGCTAGCCACAGACAGATCTATAGCTTTGTAAGAGGTCAACAAGGTTTCCTTATCTGCGCCCCAAGTGCTAGCAGCAAGCGACTAGAGGACTTTGTTCCAACTTTTCAACTTATCGCAGATAAGTTGATTCTTGTTAGGCAGATTTGCTACATAACTCAAGGTATCAAATTAAAGCGAATTCGTTTAAAACAGTGAAAAAATCCAAATTCTGATCAAGAACATATACTTTGGTCTCACTGGTAGATATATGAAAATGAAAAGTCCCCTCAAAGGAGAATTCAACATAAATTTTCAGCGATTATTTGTTTCCTTCGGCAATCATCCGTTTTTATATCCTCAGCTTTATGGCTATGAGGGTAGGGTATATACACTTTAGTACGGCAAAAATGTGTCCCATCAAAATATTCATTTTAGGCCCCATGTTTCTTTGGACCGAATTCAGACAATTTGGAGGTGATTTTCAAACATCTGGCTGGCTGTTGCGCACGATAACTCTCGAAGGGAGTAATCAATCGAGTACTTTGCACTCGTAATATTTCTTCCAAACATAGTTGAAGTTTGAATATGGTAAATATCGGTCCACTCCAACAAAATGGTCAAAATTGTGCTACAAAATTCATTCATGCGAATAGACTATCCTTTTTGAACCAAACTTTGCAAAACCTATTATCGTTACCAAGCCTAGATCAAGTCCGATGATGAAATCAAAACTTTGAAACGAACGGAATATCTAATTTTCATCCAAACTTTAGTCATTGTAATACTTTTAGATCGAGTCCAAAGATGGCACCGATTTGAACTAAACTTTGCAGAACCTAATATTTTCAACATGCCCGTATAATGTTCACCCAAAAGGGTGAACTTTTTGAAATTTTTTATTTTAAATGAAAGAAACGGAGTATTCAATTTCATCCAAACATTTGTCATCGTAATCTTGCATATATCAAATTCAATGCTGACACCAGTCGGTCCACCACTTCTGTTACCTCTCCCCCAAAGTGTAAAAATCTTGAATACTAGTTAATCCAATATCAATCTATTGGAAGGTCTGATTTGATCCAAACATTGCAGATAGCTATAGTTGAGGTGTGCTTAGGATATCTAACTTGTTGAAATTGTTTACAAAATTGTCTTAAAGAATATTGAGATAATCAGCATTATACCTTCTATCATAACGTTCCACCAGGTGAAACACCCCGAAAGCAAATAAATTGAAATCGCTAAAGATTTGCGAGCGGCTCCACTATATTTGTTGCCATCTGATTGGAAACGGTTCATTTTGGTCTTATCAGACAAAATCACATGTTTCCAATACTACGATTTTCAATTTAGATTTTTTAAAAAAAATTTAGACGCTCCTTGTTTTTTATACCCTTCAACACACTGTGGTACAGGGCATTATGTATTTGTGCATATGTTTGTAACAGGCAAAAGGAAACGAGATAGACACATGGTTCCTTCTGAGAATATACATAAAATAACTCTCTATGTCGATTTATGCATGTCCCTCCATCCGTCCGTCTGTCTGTCCATGTTAAACTGTAAACAAAGTACAGGTAGCATTTTTGATTGGAATAGGATGAAATTTGGCACAGCTCATTCATTTGGCCCGAGGACGAACCCTATTGAAATTGGGAAAAATCGGTTCAGATCTAGATATAGCTCCCATATATATATTTTCGTCCGATTTTTGGTAAATGGTGCACCAAAGTACCTATATATCCTTCGATTTGCACGAAATTTGGCATAGAGTACTGAATTAAGTCTAGAAAGATGTGTGTTAAATTTCGTTAATAATCGGTTCAGATACATTTTCGTCCGATTTAAGGTAAATGGTGCACCAAAGTCCCTATATAACATTCGATTTGCACGAAATTTGGCATAGCGTACTGAATTAATTCTAGAAGTATGTGTGTTAAATTTCGAGAAAATCAGTTCAGATTTAGATATACCTCCCATATATATTTTCGTCCGATTTTATGTAAATGATGCACCAAAGTCCCTATATATCCTTTGATTTGCACGAAATTTGGCATAGCATATTGATTTGAGTCTAGAATGATGTGTGTACAATTTTTTTTAAAATCGGTTGAGATTTGGATATAGCTCCCATATACAGTGGTGGTCACGTAATTAAAACATTTATTGTGGTAAACATTTTTTGATCAGCCCTCGATTCGTTTGAAGTATTTTCGAAAATTTTTTAATTCAGAACACTTTCATGCAATTTTTCATTAAATAACGGTTTCTATGAAAATACATCGGCTTTGAAGTGGCCACATAATTAAAACATTGTGTAATTTTTTGCTTTGCTGCATTTTTTTGAAAATAATTTTTAAAAAGCTCTTTAATTTAGTTAAATTAGGTATACTAAGCGCCGATAAAATCATTTACAGATAAAATTTTTTGAAAAAGATCTGTAAAATCTATCAAAATTGCCAAAAATGTGTACAGTACACCTAACATTCAGAAAATCACCTTTATCACCGAATGCACTAGGAACAGAAATTGATTTTTATACCATACACAACTATGTTGTCAGGGTGAAGGGGATCGGACCAAAGAATAACCTTGATAAAGATCGGTCATCATTTAGCGGGTAAAATGGACCCTGACTTTTGTGTGAAAAATGACAAAATTTGTATTCTATGGCGTATATATTTACTCTTGAAGAAGTTGATAATATATCCAAGAAGATTGGTTG